ACTAATTGAGAATTACCATTCGGACCTGCGTGAAGGGAAGAACTGGAACTTTTGTCGGTTAGCACGGATATAAATTTGACTTGCTGCAACAGCATAAGTTTCAAATAGCCGTACCCGTATGTCATGGTTCGAAAGCTCTGTCACCACTGTAACGGATTTGCGCAGACCTGGTCGCGTTAGCTTAGACGAGAGTTACGCGCAACCTGAGCACGGACCCTATTCACGCGCATATTCAGGTGACACGTTGAGTCCTCGAAAACGGACACCGACACGCACACTACCGCGGGACTAGACGCGCTTGACACGGAACACGGGGTTAGAGATGCGCACACGATCACATTACCACGCGACTCTCAACCACCTGCGAGAGGAGACAAGAGAAGACGAAACGGTCCTCTGCAAGTTCTTTTACGACCCACAAAGGCCGAATCACAGTTGGAACAATGCTTCATTTTGTCGGTGAAATGAATCAACACGTAAGGCTGGTAGTTTTCGAAAGGACCTTGTCCACTTTAGCTCAGTTGTGCTCCGACTCCGCTTGGCTGGATCCTGCTACGTTGTAAGCAGGAATCGAACCCTGTGTCTCTCAGCCCACGCATTGGAGTTTGTGGCGCATTTTTACAGAGTTATTTGTGGTGCCCGCAACGGTCATTGACACTCTTCCTTTAAAACGTAGCCATGTGTAACAACAGGTCCACGGGTTATAAGCTCACATCTCGATTGGCGTGGAGTACATGCGCCAGTTATTGTCTCTGACTGTGGGGGGCAATTTCCATTGCTCAATGGCTTGCTACTGTCCGCCTCAAGCCATGCAGGCCCTGATCAAATGGGTGCGAACCCGCCAACTCTTATCTGCAGCTGGTCGTGGTTGTAGGTGCGTAGCCTCCCACGGTCGCACAGCACGTGTGGACAGTTCTAAATTTTCAAAGGCGGTGCGTGACAGTCCTCATGCAGATCTCAATGGGTCTCTGTAATCACACTCCCGACTTCGACTTGTTTCCCACTGCTTATGGGTCAGGTTATTGTGTCAAAGGCTGTTGGAGTCCTTCAAGCGAACTTTCAAATCCCCCACTGCATTGCAGGTGAGCCTGTTGAGTCAAAGGCTACAGGCTTGAACAAATCCCCTCTCCCGTAATTGACATCCAGAGAGTGCAATATACCCTCTCAATCACGTCGACAATTCTCTCCTTTCTTCTTGTTTTTCTCTGTCTTTTCCCTTCTCATCTTCACCGAGAAACTGCCGCTGACCTTGCTGCTGCTGCTGCATCAATACATGTAGCTCTTCCATCAAACCTAGAGTTCCATTTCGTATTGGTTCTTTTAATGTCCGCCTTCTTTGTCAAATCGGCTATCAGACAGTATTAACTCTCACATTCGCTCTCTTGATATTGATGTTTGCTGTGTCTTCGAAACACCCATCCAAGATGCGGCTTTTGACCTGTTCTCCGAGCTGAGTGATTATCTTGCAAACATTTCGTTGCCAGACAACGCAACATCATCAGTGCGGCTTCAGAGGCCTGGTTTCACAGTGTGTCGTAAGCAACTTCAATGTCCAGGTGTTTATTGATCGAGTTCTGCTTCGAATGCCAGGGCTTCAATGAACTCACATGTTCGAAATGATTTGGAATATTGGTAGCTCGGGAGGCTTGCTCAGTTGTTGTGGAGTTCTCCGAGCTGGGGCAACTTGGTTGCAACCAAGTTGCCCAGCTCGGTGAACTCACATGTTTGTCGGCTGTTATCTCTTCCGAGGATGGTGGCGTGCTCCAAATCGAATTGCTGGTTCTCGCATCCGTGCATGTGTTTGCCTGTGAAGGAGTGTGGGCCGGCTCCATTATGAACGTGGCTCCCATCCGGAGTATGCCGACCATAATGACCTCATCTGTGACAGCTCACAAACATGCCAATCAGCACTGGATAGATTAGCACTGGCTATCGGCCATTTTACGCTTTGCTTTGAGCCCTCAAAATGCAAAGCATCCTAACAAAATTGGCAGGGATCACCAGCTACGTTGACTCCTGGTGGCGATCAGCTAGAAATTGTTACGAAACCCAACTACCCGTGTAGCTGTGTGATGGGAAATGTGATCACCAACCGTATAACCAAATCTCGGGATATTTTTACCAATCTTCCCCACTTGTGGTACCGGCGGGACATTAATCTCTTTCTGAAGAATAGAGTCTACTATTCAGCCCTCCGATCAAACTTACTCTACAAATGTGAAACCTAGCCCACCAAATCGGCGGATGTAAAGAAGCTTGTTACCTTCGACAACTGGTGCCTTCGCAGCTTAGCTCACTTCCGGTGTGAACAACGTGTAAGGGGCGTGTTTGGTGTGTTGCTTATGACACACTAAGAGAAAGTGAACCGCTCCGCATCGTTATTTCACGCGCCAAGCTCCGATGGCTGGGCCACGTGTTGCGCGTGCCAGCGCAACGACTCCCGCGATGTGTGTTGCTCGCTCGACGGGGTGTGGATGGAAGAAGAGGAGGCGTATCCAAGCGATGACATGGTCATGAGGAATGAAGGCCCTTACTTCGAAGTTGCCCTCGGTTGGAGCCTCCGCTCCCTGGTTTAGGTCCGAAACACGATGAACACATTTGGCTGGATACAGTTGTTGACATGGCGTGGGGCCGACCTCAGTGGCGATCGTGTTGAGTTTCTTTGTCCCTCCCTATCCAGCTTAGTCTCTCTTTCCAACCACGATCTCTTTAATGTACGATACACGTATCAGAGCATAATAATTTTTTCTGCAATCTGATTGAATTCTATCGCAGTACAATATCTAAGATGTTTCTCATCCTTAGTTAATGTGGCACTCAGCCAATTATATTGTAATTGGTATAGTGTTGCATATATATATATATATATATGTATAAGGTTTAGAAACAAACTGACCGATGTTGCCTATGAAGTAAAAAATGCGCCAATAAAAGAAAAGTGCGCGCTTACGAACAGACACCTACGAGCGTTACGCGAATTGCGTGATAAGGATGTCGTTGTAATGAAGCCGGATAAGGGTTCAGGAGTTGTAGTCATGAACAAAGATGAATACATCGAGAAGATGAGCATTATACTCAGTGACTAACAAATTTAAACGACTAGAGAAGGCAGGGGATGTGACTGCATTGGAATCCGGAATCCTTCGCCACTTAGAAATGCTTCATCAGTCTCACGTGATCGACAGTGTTACTTATAACAGTTTAAAGCCGAATGGATCAACTATGCCACAGCTATATGGGCTTCCAAAAAAGGCACAAGAGCGGAGTGCCGCTCAGGCCGATCCTCTCGATGACGAACGCACCCCAGCATAAATTAGCTCGCTGGTTGGTTAATATGCTTTCTCCGCTAAAAGCTCAGTTTAATCTATATGGTCTCAAAGATTCCTTCGAGCTTGTCGAGGATCTCGATAAAATGAACTTGTCCGATAAGGTGATGTGTTCCTTAGACGTGAAATCTTTGTTTACTAATGTGCCGCTACACCAGACCGTTGACTACATCTGCGAATTAGCAGAAAGTTCCGAATGTCGGTTGCCGATTCTAGTTGAATTCTTGAGAGAATCATTACTTCTATGCACAGAGAATGTCGATTTCCACTTCCGAAACATACCGTATCGCCAAATTGATGGGGTAGCCATGGGCAGCCCACTGGGTCCCATACTAGCGGATTTCTTCATGCTGATGATAGAACGAAGCCTATGCGAAGAAATAGCGCAGTTGCCCTATTACAAACGTTACGTGGACGATATCTTGGTGTTCAGTTCAACAGAAATGCAGATCGCAGAGCTAGTGGCGCGTTTTAACTCATCGCATGTCAATTTGAGGGTTTCCTGCGAAGTCGAACAACAGAACTGTCTTCCATATTTAGATGTTCTTATCAGCCGCAGGGATAACGCACTTGTAAAAAGGTCTATCTATCGAAAAGCAACGTGGTCGGGACAGTATCTGCATTTTAGCAGCTTTACGCCAATTCGGCACAAGCGAACGCTTGTAAGGACCCTGTTTAGTCGCGCCAGACGAATATGTTCGGCCGATTGTCTAGCCGATGAAATAAAACTAATTACCAACACGTTAATTGCTAATGGCTACCCTCGAAACTTTATCCGAAAGCACAGCGAAATCCGTGAAAAGAAAGTTGCTCTACCTACTGCGCCTAAGAAAAAGGTATTCTTAGAGCTGCCTTTTAAGGGTGACATTGCTACTTTGAGGACCAGAAGACGTCTGATTTCCGCCACACAGAGCACTTTCTGTGCTGCCAAAGTTGTAATCCTTGACCGAACTCATAAGCTACCGTTGCCTCCACTAAAGGAAACTCAGCCTATTGGCGCCAACTCCCATTGCGTATATCAATTCGTATGTAACTGCGGGAAAAGTTACATAGGCAGAACCAATAGAACACTGTGTTCCCGAATAAAGGAGCACGTACCAAAATGGGTTCAATGCGGGCTTAGTCAGCAAGCAAGCCCAAATCAGACCACTTGTGTACACAGGCCGCCAGCATCTTCGATCGGCAGGCACTTATTGAGAACAGGTCACCGAATTGAGGTCAACAAGGCGTTTAGAAGCCTGCTTCGCCATACTTATTCCCGGCTCCTCCGGTTTGCCGAGGCGATTGCCATTAACCGGATTAAGCCAGTGCTTTGTGTTCAAAAACAATTATCGATCAGCCTCAGGCTGCCCTGGTTGTAGACGAGACACCCTTTTTCTCGCGTTTGTTTGTATGGATGTCCGTACGCACAAACTGTTATATAAACTTACCGGTTATCGTTATCGGCACTGATGAGACGATACGAAATGCATGCATCTGCCGAACTTCGTCTTCTACTTGTGCTTTTCAAGTTACTAAAGGGAACTATTATATATATATATATATATATATATTATATATATATATATATATATAGTTACTGTCTAGGATGATAATGCTATTGATGTATCAAAGTTAATGGATTCTTCTATTCCACCGTTACTTCCCCTCTGCCCTTCTGCATGCTCTTTGTAGATACTCATTATCTGCCGAGCTGGGTCACGCGTCAGCCCTTTTTCCCTACATTAGGTGAGTTACTCATACTTTGATGTTACCCGAATTCCCCACGACAAGTGTCGTTTGTCAGGGTTGTCCTATGCCACCTTACCTCTTCAACTTTTTGATCGAACTAATCATGAGTGACTGAGTTCTTTCAGACTATTCTGGGGTGGAAATTCTGCCAGGTGATCGACCGACAAACTTTGAGCGTGCGGACGACAGCTCTCCTTGGATCTGACGCTGAGGCTATGCTGGCATTACTTAATAGTCTGGTGTGTAGCGCTTCACACTTTGACATGTGCTTTGCACCTTCAAAGTGAAAACTACTGCCACAGGACTGAACCGACACATCTCCGGTTCTAGCTATCACCCAACAGCCACTGGAAGCGGTGGTTTGGAGCATTTACCTTGGTAGCTGTGTCACCTCTGGTGGTCACATCAATGCGGAAGTTACTTCGCGTATCGGCAAGGCCCAAGTGGTTTTCCAGAAACTCAACCATCTATAGAGAGGGTGCGTTATTAGCCTGTCAGTGAAAGATAGGTTGGATAACGCTGCGGTAAGTCCTGTGTTACTGAGTGCATCAGAGACTTGGCCATTTCACGACGAAGACATGGAGCGCTTGGCTATGTTTGACCACCGTTGCTTGCGAAATTATTGCTCATCTGTGGTGGGAACACCGGATGAGCAATACTGAGGTCCGCATGTTGACTTTTGGCATGGAGCTTTCTGTTCCTTACTCGAGTGTTTACTGAATCCTGGTCGCCTACGTTGTCTAGGTTATGTCCACCATATACCCATTACTCTGCTTTCTCGGCGGGCATTATACACCGTCGTGAAACCGCGAAGTGTCCAGTAGATGACATAGTATAAATGCATGAAGATTTCGACCGACCGACTTCATCTGGTTAGTGCATGTCGTCTTCGTGGATGGTTCACACCAGCGATTGGAAACCATCAGACTTCACGGAGTCGCGCAGACAGTGACGTTTCTGTGTTAGATTTCTTGGACTTCTTTCGCCATTTCATTTTCCTTGTATTCCACTTGACTTTAACCTTATTTTCTTGTCGTTTTTCTTGTTATTCTGGCGACGTGAGTTGTAGCAACTGGATCCACCGCACTTCGGTGCCCGGACCATAGTTGTACAACTGAAAGCTCAGCTGATGTCAAATAAGGTGATTCAGTGCTCTATTCTCTGCAAAATTATATCTCGTTTGGATTTCTTGTCAGGCACTTATAGCTCATATTTGGTCGTTTAGGGATACACCTTTATTCAATAAAGGCGCGCCAATGAAAGTGGCAGCCAACCTATATGTATATATATATATATATATATATATATATATATATATACATATATATATATATGTATATCACAATTGGTCTGAGAGCAATGAATGGCCGGAACATAAGCAAACGACTGCGTGGTCAACATGCCTTCTCGTGTTCGACAGACTATCTCGTCAGACATTCGTGACCGAGTTCTGGACGCCTTCGTCAACTGTGACGACTGGCAGCTCGTGGCAACCGTGAAATATCAAACTGCCTGCTCCTGGATTCGTCACTCCCTTGATCAGAAGCCGGATACTACGCAGGCGCGCGGTCGTAAGCGCATTCTGTCGGAGTAAAAGATTGATGGCATTCTGGAGTGGATCGCGAAAGACACAACTGTAACACTACACGTAATGCGAGTTCGAGTACGTGCCAATACGGATAAGAACATTTCGAAGTCTACAGTTGCACGACACCTGGATGGCCGTTTAATGAAAATGAAGAACACTTATCAGACTCCAGAAGGAATGAACAATGATCGAACCAAAGCGAGACGAAAGGAGTTTGTTCAAAAGTTTATCGAACTTGAAAGAGAGGGGAAGTTCTTCATATGGATCAAGGAGACAAACTTCAATGTCTACTGCAAACGCACTCGTGGTCGGGCGCACAGTGGAGTGAGGACTTGTGTCAAAGTAGCCAAAAGTAGAGGCCTGAAGTTGCATCTCATCGTTGCACTCATAATGGATGGAAACGTTTCGATGAAGAACCGGCTCATACACTGGCTCCCTATCTCTCGAATGGCTGCGAGGCATTTTAGACAAGCTGAAGTGGGAAGTGGAGCTCCGGCAGGTGGTCGTAGTGTGTGACAATGCACCATGCCACACACGTTTGGAAGTACTTATGTCAGTCGGAGGATACGAAGGGGGTTACCATTCTGAGATTGAGCCCATACTTCCCGTTCCTCAATCCCATCGTAAATGCCTGGCAGGTGGTGAAGGACCGAGTGAAGAATGAACTGCGAATGCAGTAAAATGAACTGACTGGGGATCCCCGGAACCTCAATAGATTGATGCACCAAAAATAATTGATATGCAACTCCTTGCGCGGTAGTAAGCCACCAGTAAGTGGACGGGTGTGATGCTCACGTTATTGTGATTTCGGGTCAGAGTGCACTTCACACACCGCTAGAAATAGCCGGTTCTGCATTCAGGGGAACACTGGGGCGCCCAGGACAAATAGTGCGCGTGGTCGCGTCGCATAACCAGTTTCGCTGCCGTGTTGTAGTACAACCGCGCGAGAGCTGGAGAAATGGATTCACACCTAACTACGGATGCATGGCGTGCAATTATGATTTCTCGCGTATCTGTTGGCGGTTGGTGAGCCGGTGGTTAAGGATTTTGAGAGGGACATAGTAGACTTGACCGCCATGAGTCGAGGTTGTGGTCATTGATCGATTGTCTAGCACGTAAAACCAGCGTGGGCGAATGGACGACGATTTGCCGCGCGGCATGATGATCAATGCGAACTGTCCGAGCACATAGGGCATGCACAATTCACGTTTACCACGATCTCAAATGAAATATCTCCGGCAAGATCACCGATAGATTAGCAGCGGCTGTGTAGCCACTGCTTGTGCCACCCGGAGCAGTCGTTCGTTGTTCGCACCCCTGCCAGCAGTTAGTTGCGTAAATCACCATATCTGCGATTCAATAGGGCGTTTCATAGAACAATAAGCATGACTGAAAATTTTAGAGTGCCGTTGTAAGTGTTGGCATTTGTTGTTACAATGCTCGTGCACAAAATTTGCAAACACGCGTGGCGCGAAAACTACCAATAACCCCAATCAAAATTCGGTCCATCGACTAGGTCCCTTCATTATGGAGACAATGGCCAAATCCCGTGAACGTTTTCGGTTCATAAGTGACCGAAGGTACTTCTGTACATGTATTTGTGGTACATGTCATTATCGATCGTAAATGTGCGTAATACCGCCGAACAGTGTAATGCACATATATCTCTCTGCGCGATATGGGTGTGTAATAAACTGTTATTTCAAATGTTATGGCGCTTGTCAAAATGATTCTACTTTGTGTCACCAGCCAAATTGGCTTCTTAACCATAAAACAGGCGATTGACTATGTTCTTTGGCACATTGTCATCTTCCTTAACCTACAGAAAGTGTTTGACAGAGTTCCACACAGGAAATCTGATAATCACTGGAGCATTTTACAACAAAAAGACTTCTAAAACACAGGTATAATGGTGCTTAAAGAAATTTAGTTATATTTCGACCTGGAAATGAGCTCTTGAGACTCAATGGCTGAGGACAAATTAAATCCGACCGCCTAGAAAAGCCTTAGCACCGCAGAGGAGGTGCGATCATCTACATTATCGAAAATTTCTGTACATCAGTTTCACAGCTGTCCGCTTCCCCAACGGCTTCAATAAGTTATCGAAATGATTCTACGTTGTAAAACGTGGTAATGATAGGACATCAGATTCAGACCAGCGCATTTTTATAGTCCCTATACCATTCATCTGGCAGTGTCAGACCGTCTGCGTGACTTTCCTCTTATTCACCCATTCGATGTTATCTGAGCCTTCTTGGAATAGTTCATCGGGTGATCTTCCCCACATGAATAACCTCGTAATCCTGCTCCGATCGATATAGATTCCCAGCTTAGTGCGAAATAATGTTACACTGTCACACGACGTGCTTGTGAATGGGAACCTATTACACTAGACCGCATATCCGATTAAAAAGAAATTGGACCGCCTTTTTGCCTTGTAGTTTTGGATAATCAGCGTTCAGTTCTTATTACGAAGGTCCGGGGTCGGGCCTTGTTGCAGTCCTAATGTGCCTTACACTGTTTGGTGGTATTTCGCACTTGTTCGACTGGCAATGACACTGTTCACAAATGGCACCAGGATTCCCGCACAGATCGATTATCGTAACATCCGATCATCTTGTCCACGGTATTGGCTCAGTGTCATACTTAGTCATGTGGACCACTCCCGCTGGGGCTGGCATAGCCCTCCGTGGGCATTGTGAGAGCATCCATATATCTACACCAATTGCACCCCAATCGTTTACGAATGCTATTGGGTCAAACGATGGATCATCCGAACGATCAAAACGGTATCCAAGTCGTGCTGGATAGCCGTTCGGGCATTTCGATCACGTAAATTAGATTGGGTTTGCTGTAGGAAAGGTTGACTGGAAACCTAACGTACAGCTTCCTGATATCCCATACTGTGATATATGTGATGGTTACTCCACCCGGCAAATTCACTTGGTCCTACAATGCACTTTGCAAACAGTTTCCGAAACACGCACGTATATCTCGCTGATTGCAGGTGAGTGTTTCGAGCAAACTAGCTGTGCTCACACCATTGTTCCAAAGTGGTGCGGTCATCCGGACAGTCGGTGACGCCCGTGTGAGCTTCACTCACATGATTGTCCAAACTGAGGTTTCCGAATAGACAAGTGGAACATACGTCCTCGTGTGTGTACTACGGAGGGAGTAACAGTGCGCTTAGGGAGAAATGCCTACTAACATGGTTGGCGGCATCCGGTTTCGGATTTGCCTGTCACTGTGATCAGCCACAGGACGCCTGCGCCTACAGAGGGACCATGGGTGGCTTGCGCTCCACCACCCACAGCTCCAGCCACACACCCCATATACAGTGTAAACCCGAAGGAATAAGACTGAGAGGCATGTGGATGGGAGCCACGTTTCATCAACGGAGCCGTCCCAC